GAGCCAAAGAATAAAGCTGGCCTTACACTATATGAATTTTGGTTGGCTGTCGCACCTTTTTGGTCGGCACCCCTCGACCAGCTGATCAAAGTGTCCTTCGGGGACAATATAAAAAGGCTTAAAAACATTAGGTGTGAGCTGTAATGGTTAATGTTTATTGTAGATGCCGTAATACTGTATGTTAGGGATGTCCCGATACCCCCGTGAGCACACATAACACTACTGTATGTGTTTATATTTTATATACCGTATGAATTTTCTTATCATGTTTGCAAGTTTAAAGATCACATACTTGGTTTTAAATAAATATTCTTTCTTTTTAGGTATATGAGAATAATGACTACAGGAGAGTAAGATTTGTTGGGAAACAGAAGGAGGTAAGGAAACATTTAAGTTTTACATCATGACATATGCTTTTTAGCAGCCTTTTTGTTGCGTCTTGTGTTGTGTATTTTAGTTAAGATTCAACAATACTTAAAGAAGAACTCCGGGGGAAAATGATTAACCCTTGCAGTGGATCTACCCCGACACTGAAAGAGTTAACTGCGTGTTTGTGTCTAGGTGCTAAAAAAATAAGTTATACTCTCCCTATCATTCAACCCGGCTTGTTAGACCGGTCCCTAGAGCCTCTCTCCACCTCCACTGCAGGGGGTCAGAGAATTCTTGTGTCATCATGTTCTATACAGGTGTATAGACATGGGGACACTGAGGAACATTCCATCTGTGCAGCGGAGGAGGAGACGCGCTGGTGACTCTAACTTTTTTTTATTTTTTTAGCACCTAAACAAAAATGAGCAGTTAACCCTTGCAGTGCCGGGGTAGCCCCACTGCAAGAGCTACGAAATATTCTTCTATAAATTGTATCCAAACCCAAAGAACATAAATATAATATATTGCAGCTTACTAGTCCTTGATTGGGGCGACTGCATTAGTTTTCGTTTCAGGATTTTCCCCTTTATTTTCCCCTGGTTTACCTGCCGTAAACACAGGTAGAGGCTCATTGAAACGGAAAGTGGACATCACTAATCGCTCTCTGTTCTGCCCATTTGCTGTAAAGAGGTCGCACGGCTTCCACACACCTTACGATAATCGTACGATCGCGGGATTTCCCGCGATTATCGTACAATTATCGCAAGGTGTGTGTGCACCTTAACAAGGAGTTTACCTTGGTCATTAACCCCTTCACGACTGGCGACGTACAGTGTACGTCGCCAGCATTGGGGCTGTTTAAACAGACTCCTCTGTTTAAACTTGTCGAATGTGCTTCTGGAAACGTACAAAACAAAGCTTTTTAATGTTAATGGACAAGGGGAGAAGAGCGGTCAAGTGAAAAACGGGAGCCCTGCACTATCTGAGAGCTGGAAACCTCATTGCCAGCACTGAAAATATAGCACTGTGTGTAGTATCTTGCAAGTAGAAAGAAATCAATTATACATGGAACAGGATAGAGCTAAGTATGTGATACACTTGACAAGGGGTAACTTCTGTTTGAATATGTAAACAATCGTAGCTGGAGTCCCACTTTTTTATATTTCTCTAATCAGGAGAAACCGAGTTCTTTTGTTACTGTTTTCAGTATATTACTGAGCTGTGGTCTGAACAAAAGCAGATTTTTCAGCTTTTGGCTAGAAGGCTGTTTCTTGAAGTAAAGGAAGCATGCCAGACCTATATGATTGACATTATAAGCAGAATGCTTCTCTGAACAAGAGCTGGTATTGTATTGCCTGATCAGCGCTACATAGGTCAGTGAGAGCTTGTTTTAGGGCCCCTTTATACTTCTGTGTTGCGGTAACGTACATAATATGCATTGTAGTGCCATTCATTTTAAATGACACCCCAACTCACTAAGGCAGCACATTTTCATTGTAGCACGCCACAACACATGGTGATTTGTTAGATTATAAAAAAGGACCATGCGTGCTTTCAAGCACGTCAGGATACATTGGCAGCTCATTCATTTTGAACTAGCTGCCTTAACGCAACACATGTTAACGGGCCACTTAAGGCGTGTTAACGCACAGGAAAGGAGTGCATAGGCCCTTAGCGCCCATCCATACCATTCATACGCTTTTTCCAGTGCAGCCCCAATGCACAGATCAGGCAAATTGCCTTGCTTTTAATAGGCTCAGTTAACACAACCACCGTAACCACATAAACAGTTTGATGCAGCAGAGCATCAGCACAGTGCCTGTCATTTGCACACCAGCAGCCATCTGTTTAGCGTGGCTTGCTGCTGTGAACTGACCCTTAAAGCATATTTATTGCTTTTTAAGAATATGAAAAGTTGAAATGCATCAGCGTTGTGGAGCAATTCATCCTCAAAGTTCACAAGTGAAGTTTTTTTCCAGCATTCTGCTCACTTCCCTCTTCCTGTGTATCTGCTTGATGTTTACATCACAGATCAGAATGTTAGCAGCTTGCTGGCTGGGTGGGGGGGGATCTGAAGGATCTACGGTGCACATAACTAGAGTGGTCAATAAGAGTTTGTTTTAAAGTGACCTTATTAGGAGGTCAACAAAGTTACAAAAGCAGTAACCTGAAATGAAAACTGCTTTGTACATGCCATTTGCAAAAACTTCACTCTGTAGCAGAATTGCCAATTCAGCTGGCCGAATGGCATGTCCCCCTGTTGGCTTCTATGGTTTCTCCTGCAGACTGGTGGTCACTGCAGGACACTGCAGGTGATGTAGGGGTTCTCGGATGGAACCACAGCAGCCAGAGGGGTACATGCTATTCCACACACCAGGAAGTATGGAGTAGGATCCGTGCTGAAACTTCTGTTAGAAGTGAAGTTTTGCCAAAAGAGCAAACTGACAGGTATTTATAATGCTGCTTTTTCTCAGATTAGTGGCTTTGTAACGTTTTTGACTGTCTGACAGGGCTACTTTAAAGCATATTTACCTCTTGTAAAAATATGTAAATAGTTGAATTTCCTGTGCCTGGCCAGAGTTCTAAACCTTCTGAGCAGTTATTTTGTGTATGTTGGATATTGGTGAAATGTTTAGGGTTTTTTTTTCCTTGATATGACATGATGGGTCTCAAAGTATAGCTAGTACTTCAAGGCATTGGAATGGCTAACATATTGAACAGGGTCACGGTGTTGACTGTTGGAGGCTTGGAGTTGCTTTAGGGGCTTCAACATTACGTTCTAGAATGTGCTCTTAAAGGAGAACTATGGGGTTAAGGCTTTTCCAAACTAGCGTCCTCCCGTCACCCTAGGCTCAGCTGCTCGCGGTATACTAAGACGCCACAGCTGAAGCGGATCCCGACAATTATGTCTGAATCCGCCCAGCTGCGTGACTGACAGCTGGCTCTGCCTACCTAGAGGCAGAGCCAGCTGTACCTGCCCCCTCCCCCGTCCGTTCCGCCAGTCAGCGCTGGCGGATTGGAGCGGGGAGGGGGGAATCCAGCCCCTCCCCTGTCACGGCAGAGAGCCGTGACAGGATCGAGAGGTGAGCGAACGCCGGTATGTGTTCGCTCACCTCCCTGGCCACAAGATATAACTCAACAAACAAAAACTGAGAATAACTATATTCACCAAAGATCATGCAGCGGAAATCACCAACTGAAAGCTACAAAGCACTAAATGTCCACCCAGAAAGTGTACATAAACCTACTTTAAAATTTCAATAGTAAAGTACTTTACTATGTATGGGTATGTGTGCTAAAATAAAGCAGTCATTAGATGAAACATGCTAAATATAATAAATGACTACAAATATAGTTAAAGCTATACCCTTGAATGTAGGCTACAAAAATGTAGTCAAAACAATTGTATGATCAGAAAAAAATTATCTTTAAAGGAGAACTATGGGGTCAGTGTTTTTCCCCATAGTTCTCCTTAGGGTAATGGGAGGACACAAACTAGCGTCCTCCCGTTACGCTAAGCTCAGTATAGGATTAGAGATAAGCTTCTTCCAGCCCGCCATATTGTCTTCGCTTTTATACAAGTTTGCATTATTCTGATTTTTTTTTTTAGGCTGTGGGACAGGGCATAGGCATTGTGATCACGTGTATGGAAGGAATGTTATCAGGTGGTGCACTTCACCTGTTGCTATGCACAAGATTAGGGGAACATAAGACCAAGTTGAGCTGCATCTCTGGGAGGAGAGCTACTTAAAGGGGAGGGGTGACTTTTTTGCTGTGCTATACAGAATTGTCTTGTTAGGTCCTGGGTTGTAGGGAGAGCCTGAGTTTCAAAAAAGATGACTAAAAGGCAAACCTAGTGCTTCATGGGAAAACAAAATGATGCTTGTTTATGGCACACCATGCATTAGCAAACTAAATCTCATCCATTTCTAAATACAGATGATAGGAATCGCTAGCACTCACAGGATGTGAAATTCTTGTTCATATTTATTGAACATGCGTCAATGAAGCCAACGTTTCGGGGGCCATGCAGGCTCCCTTCCTCAGGCGACATAGTGACCTATTTCTAAATGTCTCTATGGTTCCACCTACTTTTTTCTAAATCTTTACTGAGGCTTGTATTGATGTAGCACCTGGCAGATGAAACCACAACAGACAGCGCGGTTCCAGGCATTGGACACTCCTTGAAGTGTGTCGGATACTGAAGATTCCTAAAATGAATGTAAATCCGAGGCACTGGTGGCTGAACGGGAAGTATTAAGCCTCTACTTTTACATGGAGCCTTTTTCGAAACTTTAGTGAAAAAAGTGAACTAATGTTCCTTCTTCAGGGCCTTCCAAGGAAAGAAAAAAAATTAGAACAATAGAAGTTTTGCATGCCACATGTCTTGTTTTGAATACAGTAGTAACAGGTTAGGAACCCTGTTAAGTTTTTTTTCTTCAAGTCTCTGTCCTTGCTGGACAGTTTCACCTTTTCTGTTTGACCTGGTGACTATTGTCACAGACAGAAAGTGATGAGAAATCTAAAGTTTTAGGCCTGGTTCACAACTGGTTGGTTTTACAGCCCGTTCCTACGCTCTGTAAAACGCTCAACATGTAAAAACAATGATTGCCTATGGGCATGGTTCCCACCTGGGCGTTTTACAGCGCGTAGGAACGCCCTACGCCCAAAGAAGTACAGGATTTGCCGTGCGTATCCATTGGGATACAGCCAGGTAGCCCTCGGAAACGCGCGTTTGGCGCACGTTTTTTTACAGCGTATCGCGGTAAAAACGCACGGCATGAAATGCGCGACAAACACGCATATTCTGTACGCCCAGGTGTGAACCCAGCCTTAGAGTTGTCACCCAAACAGGAACAAAGAAAAAAACTTCCAAAGGGGGGCACCTGTTTTGGTGACATTTGTCTAAGACTGGCAATACACTAGTAGTTTTTTATACGAACGTTCATGCAAAAAATATTGCTACAACATTTGTTAATGCCATCAGAGACTTGACGAATGTTGTTCAAAATTTTGTTTAGTTTTAACATTTATTTTAAAAAGAATGGAGTTTGCCAAATGAAAACCACATTTACTATAAGAATTTATTTTCTTCAATGAAAAATGTTCCATCCCTGTCCTTCTATTTGTATTTCATCACTGCGGTCCAAAATGTATACATTTAACAAAATGCTACTGGTGTGTATGGCCAGGGAAATTCCCTTCACTTTGTAGATATTTTCCTCTTATTTCCTGCTGTGACTCTGGTACATTAAGTAAATGGAAATTTACCCAATGGGTCACAGTCACCAAAAAAATAGATGGGTTTAACTAGGGATGCATCGTAATTTTGGCCGCCGATGCATATCACCCGCAAATGGGACTTTTGGCAAAATGCCGAAAGTGCCACCTTTCGGCCGAAATTGCAACGCATCCATATTTTCTCTCCTCCCGCTGTGCGCTGTTCTGTCCCCTCTGACACAGCACAGCATCCAGTGGGGAGGAGAGAAACTGTCAGGAGAGGTGCCTGGGTGCCCCCCTCAGCCCCCTCTAACCGATCAGGATGGAGAGCGGTGTGGGGGCTGAGACAGCCTTGCGCTGTCACAGAACCTCAAGCCACCGGTGAGGGGGATGAGTCAGCTGTCAAAATAGAATGAGCTCTCCGCACCGCCGCCTCACACTCCTGTGACAGCGAGTCAGGATGGAGAGCAGTACAAGCAGTCAGAGATCGGTAATCACTGACTGTTTGTAAATAATTGGACATAGTATGAGTTACTATATACCAGTTATGAATGAATAGGAAGTGATCTACATCACTTCCTGTTCATTCATATATGTGTACATAATAACTCGTACTATATCCATAATTTATGAATGAACAGGAACACTCGGGTCTATTCACGAAGCTGCCGAGGGCAGCCGAGTGAATGACCGATCTCAAGTGAAGTGAGCCGAAAGGACCGGTCACAATCGGGCAGCGGCGGTGACCTCTAAACAGGCAGATTAGACGGCCGCTTGCAGGGGCCTCCCGGGGTCCTAGCGAGGAGGAAGCAGCCGTCTAACCTACCTGTTTATTGGCTGCCGCTGCCTAATTGTGACTGGCCCGGATCGCATACCAAGGCGATCCGGGTCAGTCGGATCTATTTCAATTGGTGGTCCCTGAACGCAGTGGTGTATTGGGGCTGCCCTAGACGAGGCAAATTTACCCCACCCCTTCCTGTTTAATACTTTTTGCATGACCTGTCAGTCGCTGGATACAGTGCAAACACTGTATCCAGCTTTTGACATGTTCCGCTATTAGCATAGCAGGAAAGCTGTGGTCTCACTAAAAGGTACCCCACAGATCCTGCACAGCCCCCTGGAGGCCCTGCAGTCTGCATGGTCTCAGGGGGTGTGTGCAGGATTTGTAATAGGCTCCGCCCACCATGGGGCTGCAAAGCCCACATAGATCCTGCAAAGTCCCCATGAGACCCTGCAGTCTGCCAGATCTAAGGGAACCCCCATCTCCATCCCCTGCCGCTCCATCCCCCTTCTCCTCTTGCTCGCTCGCTCGCCCGTCTGCCGACATTAGACAGCTCGGCTGCCTTAATGTTGTGGTGCCTGAACCTTGGTTCGCGTGCCAGCAGAAAGCGCCTCGCATGCCCTCCCTGGCCACTGGTATAGAGGATTCCTGTTCATTTATAACAGGGGATGCAGAAAAAGAGAATCTA